TTGGGTTGGGGCAACGGTTTGTGATGACCTATGAAGATGTAAAAGATTGTGTGGCAAAGTAGTATGGTCTGCAGTGGAGAACCCTGCACTGGTTTCACTGCCGGGTGCTGCGGAGTTGCTCGAGTTAATTCCCTTTTTCCAGTGATTCCGCCTTCGGACTCCATCTTCAGTGCCAGCCTTCCAGCGAAAACGGGCCATTGGACGAAAAGCATGAAGTAGAAGCTTGCGACGATTGTATACTAGCTCTAGTGTTCATTATCATGAATCAGCAGACTGAATTCGTCTCACCACGTGGCCTTCTCGTTCTGTCTTCGTACACTAGCTCGAGGCGAGAGAGGTCCTATCAGGAGCATTTCCGAAATCTCTTTAGCGTCCTTCTTCACTGACAATCGTCAGGAACTTCTCTTCTATGTTTTAACCTGATTTCCTACGCTCCCTATCGCGCACCATGCGCTCTTGCGAACTTTCACAGGAATCTCACAAAGTGTTTCAAGCTAGACAATAAGCAGACCACCGGAAAAATGAACTCTTTTTTCTTTTCTCTTTCTTTATTTCTCACATGCTTACCATCATGTGGAAATAGTAAGAATGTGGGGATAATTTTTCAGAAGATTTTCCACGAGATAATGAGCAAGTTTACTTTGAGATACAAGAAACTGTACCTGCTCGCCGGTCGACTGTGCTGTACGGACATCGCTGTGTTAGGGCGCTTCAGAGATCTGAAACATATTCCATTCATCAACGCTTACATAACTAGTCCTTAATGCGCGTTTGATTGATCATTCTGGCTGACCACCATTATTATACTCTTTATCCCTGAGACGGGGTAGGCGTGGCATTCGAACATGGCACGGAACTGGTTACTCGTGGGATATTTAAATTTCAGACAACCGCCATCTTGTTCTTTGTTGGAAAAAGACGTGACCACATTTGGGTCAAAATGAAAATGTCTTTCCAAGAGCACAGCCACCACGACGTTTAGTTGAAGTACGCAGCCACGCCTACCTCATCTCAGGGATTTCGAGTGTACTTATGCTTACGGC